TGTTAGACCTGTGTTAAAACACTTATTCCTCTGTTTAAATAAAAAATAAACTCCCCTGTACAGCAGCTTTCGAGGAGAACCTCAAGATTCAGCAAAATTTGGCCACTCTGGACGGGGCCAGATGCGACTCCTTCACCGGTTCTCGTCTCTCGGAGCCCTCCCGGGTTAACGAGGAGAGGCAGCAACGTATTATAATTGTAAATGGTCCTGGAATGTCATAAATAAAGCATCAGCCGAGCTGGGGAGGGAGAGGGAAGGTATTTGCTGCGCTCCCAGGAACGGGAGCAACTGCTGGTGTTTAATCTTTAATGAACAAGATGTTGCGAAGTGCCGCCAGTCAGAGCGTGTTTGGGTAACGCTGCTCAGCCCGCGCGGGGGGGTGACAGCCCCGACCCTGCCGTGCCACCGCTCGCCCCTCGTGCCAACCGTCATTCCTCGGTCGGGAATGCGGAGCAGGATCGCTCCCAGCCTTTCGCGGGTGTTCCCCGCCCTTTCTATCCCATCTGGCACTTCTGCAAGTGGCAAAACGTCTCCTCCTCTCCTCAAATCCTGGGAAAGGATGAAGATCAGCCCTAGGCCGATTGAGAGATCCTAGTCCCTGCTTTCCCATTCCCTCCCTGTATCCGCCTCCCGCGCTGGCCCCGGTCCGTGTGAATTATGGATAAGCCCCGCTAATCACCGGCTGATTAAAATGATGAGCTGTTAATATTCCCTCGCCTGTCGCCTCCGCCGAGGGGGCGCGGCGGCACCTGAAGGCTGGCGGGGACGGGGAGGGGCTGGATGGGGCAGCTGCGTCCCCTCCTCCGGCTCCATCCCGAGGCCCCATGGAAATGCTCCAAAGGCCATCCCGGAATACAGCGATGGGGACAGGGGGAACCTTGGGGTCGTGTCCCAGAGGGGTGAAGTCCATCAGCAGCCGTGGCTGCCCCAGCCCTGGAAGTGTCCAAGGCCAGGCTGGATGGAGCTTGGAGCAACCTGGGCCAGTGGAAGGTGTCCCTGCCCATGGCAGGAGGTGGCACTGAATAGGCTTTAAGGTCCCTTCCAACCCAAACCATCCCATGATTCTATGATCAGTTTGAAGTCAGCTTTTTGGGAAGCACTGGGAGATGAAAAATAGCTTTTGGGGAAGGACTGGGAGGTGAGAAATAGGTTTTTTGGGAAGCGTTGGGAGGGCAGAAATCAGGGAACGGAAGCACCAATCGATAATAACAAACAAATCTTCAATTTTGATGAATGTTAGAGGATTTCAAGGGCGTGGGAAGATGGGGAGGGGTTGTTTTGTGGTGCTGGGATGCACTGAAAGGTTCCATCATCCTGAGGCGTCCCGGGGCACCCAGGGGGTGCTGCGTGGGCTGGGCTTGGGGGGCTCCCAGCACCCCCCACCCCCTCCTCAGCAGGACAGGGACCTCAGCCAGGGGGGTTCAGCCATGGGTGCTCCATCCCTCGAGATTCCCATGGGGTGCCTGGCTGCTGCTGTGTGCCAAAATCTCTGATGGGAGGCTGACACTGGGCAGAAGTGGGGCTGGAAGCATCCGGCCTCATCCTCCCCTTCCCGGCCGGAGTGAAACCTGCCTCTTCCCTCGGAGCTATTTTGTAATTGAAAGCACTGAGCATGTTACAATGTGCTCCTTTTATTAATGTGTCACTCCTGATTTAAAAGGACATTTCATTTATCTCTCCCTTCCCCCTCTCCCCCCCTCCCTTTTTTTTTATCCCCCTTAAACTGGATGTCGCAAGAATTCCCACAGCTCCCGAGCAAAAATACTCTTTTCTCCCCAGGGATGCGATCTAATCAGAGGGATGAATTTCCATAGGTCTGAATCTAATCAGAGGGTGGCCCGGCACAGCTTTCACTATAAAATATGTCTTATTTAAAAGAGCAAAGGGGAAGGAGAGGAGCCTCGGGGTTCAGAGCTGCCTTTGGGATGCTGATAACGCAAAGGATGACGGAGAATTTGGGACGGGCTCCTCCTTTGGAGCAAATCTGGTGCTCAGCCCTTTTTAAATAGTTCTTAAAATTCAGCAAGACCTGTCACTGCTGGTTTCTTCTCCCCAGTAAATCCAGAGAAAGGGCCCAAAGTGTGGATTTTGAGGAGCAGTGACACTTGGCAGTTGTGTGCTGTCGGGAAGCAAAGGGAAGGGGAGGATGAGGGATGAGATTTGTGCATCAGCCACAGCAAAACAGCAGGTTCTGGACGGCTCCATCTGGATTCCTGCTTTATTTTCCAGTGCCTGAATTTGTTTTCCCTGCTTTTCACCCTCCCCTCCACACATCCTTAGCATTTTGGGGGCTGGTTCCTGTGGGGATCATGCATCTGTTTCTCTCTGCTCTCCTTCCCGCTCTTGCCTCCTTCGTTTCTGTGTCTTCTGAGGTTATTTTGCTCTGAATTTGAGCAGTGATGCTCTTTGAGCATTTGGATTTTCACCTTCCCTCCCCCTCCAGGCACAGCTGGGGCTCCACCATCAGCCCTCCGTGGGATCCCCATCCCCTGGCACCGGCACAATAAATCACAGAGCTCCAGAGCTTTGTCCTTTCCACTCAGGATCTCCTCAGGAGAAGTGCAGGAGCATCCTGTGGTTACACCCTCATATTTTTAAGGACCAAATGTCCAAATTTAAGGACCAGCCAGGCCTGGATTACCAGGAGTAGAGGCAGAAGCTGCTGCCATTGGCATCTCAAAGTGGTTTTGCAACACCTTGGAGGGAGCAGGGCCGGCGGGAAGCCCATTTGGGGTATTTTTAGCCATTCAGAAGTTGCAGGTTGGAAATGTGTTTGCAGGGGGATTTCCTTGGATAAATGCTTGGGCTGATGCATTTGGGTGAGTGGCTGGGGCCACCCCAAGCTTGATTAGTTTTGACTTAAAAAATCCACCAACCCTCAGAAGACATTCTAAGCACCCCTCAAACCCTTGGCTGGACTGGGACTGGGGATGCTTCCCCTTCCCATTGCAGGGCACGGGAATGCAAGGCAGCACCACGGGAAGAGGGCTGGAAAACCATCTGGAGATGCTGCACTTATGAGCCAAGAACTCCTGTGTTTCAATATCTCCTGGGCACGAGGGAAAACTCAATCTTAGCTCCGGCTTTGTCACCGTCGGTTCTGCCGCCGGCTTTGTGTAATCGCGCAGATCCGCGCCGGGGGCAGAAGGGGATGGAATCCTGCCCGAGGCTCCAGCGCTGCCTCATGGAGAGCCTGAGCTCTTCCACACGCGGGGAGGCTCCGTCCCCGGCACGAATCCACCCCCCATTTCCTTCGGGCAGATGCCACCGAGCTGCCAAACGTTCGCTCATCCCCCTCCCTTCCCTTCGTGCCTGTTGCTCCTCTTGCTCCTGGAAATGTCAAAAGTGAAGCGAGGGGAAGCGGGGCAGTCACTGCGAGACCTCGACTGACCTTCCTCGCATCCTTCCTCCTCCTCCTCCTGCTGCCTCTCCCATCACTGCCTCTTTCTATCTGCAAAGCCCCGAATTCGAGGGGACCTCGTGCTGCGTTGGCAATCGCAAGGAATTAATCCCTGCTTTAGCAAGCTAAAATAAACCCTGTCCAGGCGAAGGGAGAGGCTGGAAAGATGCTGGCCCTGGATGAACAGGGATGCTGGCGAGGATTTGGGTCACTCTTAGCAAGGAGGTTGGGATTCCAGGCTGAAACATTAAACTCCATCTTCCTGTGCATCGATTCAGGGCTGCAAAGAGCCCTTGATTTACCCCTCATGGCTGCACCTGCTGCGCAGTGCTCCAAAACCCCTCCAAAAACATACAGAAATCCACTTTTTATCTAAATTTCCTCTCTTCCAGTTGACTGCAGCAGCAAGGCTGCTGCTGTAACCCCCCAAAAAGCAGCACAAAAAGGGTTTCTTCAGCCTGAGAGCCCCGTGCTCAGTATGCCAGGCCACGCTGCCGTGCTGGTGCAGCAGGCACGTGGGAGTGGAGCGTGTTCTCCCGCAGGTCGTGGCTGGGATTTATAGCAAAAACAGCGACAAGTTGTTTTACAAGTGATGCTGAGCCTGGAAACACTGGCTGGGGGACACAGACAATCACCTTCACCTCCTCCAGGGCATCTCCTTCCAAGGAGTCTCCGGTTCTGCAGCCCTGCTTCTAAAACTGCTCCTGTTTTCCAGACTCTTTCTGTCAGGTTTTTCCACCCAGTGCAAGCAATAACTAAAACCCTTGGATTTTGGCAGGGGGAGAGGGGTTCTTTTGGGGTGTCCTGGTTGCTGATGGGGTTAAACGGGTGTGATCAGGGTGAGGATGCTGAAGAAAGGCTTGGCTCTGCTGGGCTCCCAATCTGTCATCTCCCAACAGCCAGAGGAAAGAGAGGAAAATAAAATAGGAGTGCAATTGCCTGCCCTCCTGACCCTGGCTGCTCTGTGCTCCTGCAATAGTTTTGCAGCAAATCGAGGGGAAAGAGGGAGAAAAGTGCCAGACGGAGCCGCCCGTGCTCTCATTTTCCAAGGACGGATCCGGCATCCAGCCGGGGGGGATGCGGGGAAGGAGCAGGCTCCTGGCCAAGGCCGGGCTGTAAAAACACAGGTTGGGCTTTGTGCATGCTCTGATTAATCTGTTGGATCCATTCCCATAAGGAATGAGTAATTTAGAGATTTTAAAGCAAGCCTAGGGCAGGGGAACCTGGTCTGGAATGGGGGGAGAACCAACATGGGGCAGAGGATGGTGAAGGCCAAGTCAAAGCCAATAAATTCACAGGAAGGATGGGCTGCAGTCTGCAGGGTGGGAGGGGGTTTGGTGGGATTTTCCTAAATTCAGGAAGGGTTTTCTTCAATTTAGACTTTTTTGCTGCATTGGGAGCAGCCAAAATTCTCCACTGGGAGGGGCCAAGTACCACCCAGGTGGGCTCGTCCAGGCATCCTCCCTCCCTCTGTGGGACTCAGCGTTTGCTCCCCGTGGCCATTAACCAGTGAAACCATCCAGGGACAGCGTTTTAACCCCTGCTCCAAACTTCCCCAGAGCTCAACTCTCCTTTCCTCCCTCTCTCCTCCCTCTCCCAGCCTACCTGACCGTGAGCATCGAGCCGCTGCCGCCCGTGGTGGTGGGAGACGCCGTGACCCTGAAATGCAACTTCAAGACGGACGGGAAGATGCGGGAGATCGTCTGGTACCGGGTGAGTGGCACCGGAGCCTCTGCCCTGCCCCTGGGGACGGGAGCAGGAGGACACCAGGCTGCTCTGCTCCTGTGGAACAGAAGGTCAAGGTCGGATGATGGAGGGAAAGGCAGAGCTCTGGCTGATGGGAATCGATTCCGGGAAGGAGTCAGGCAGGCTGGCCTTTCAAAACCTGGGGGGGGAGAGATGTCAAATGGCTTTGTGATCACCCTGAGAGCTCCAGGAGGCATTTTCCAGGCGTTTCGTTATGTTTTCCAGGTGGATTTGGGGTTGGCAGGCTCGGTTTGGGGCTGGGGGTTGTACTGAGGGTTGGAGCTGGTCAGGATTTGGGGTCGAGGTCGGCCCCGCTCTGCAAAGAGGATTTTCGTGTTGGGTGTGAAATGATGCAAAAAAGAAGGGGGAAATTTGGCAAAATTGGGGGTGTCGGGAGCTCGGGGAGCAGTGCTGGGCTCGTCATGTTGGGCTCTCACAAAACCTTTCCCTGTCCCCAGAATATTTGCAGATTTGGGCTGTTGATCTGGAGGGAAACAAGACTTAGAGCCTCTGGTTTCTTCTGGGGAGGAGGGATTTGGGGCTGTGACTTTCCCCCCTTCCAGCTTCACTCCCATCTGCACCAAGCCCTGATCCAACCTCAAATGTAACAATCCAGAGCAACATTTTTGACTTTCTCCAGGAAATTTCAGCATAAGCTGCCAAACACGAATAAAACCCCTGCGGTGGTTTGATCAGAGCAAACCTGAAGTTTTCCAGGATGGAACAGAGCTCTTTGCTCATGGAGGAGGCAAAGAAAGGGCAAATGGTGCCGGTGGCATCGCATGGAGTAACTGCCTTTCACCTGGGAGCATTTTTTCTTGGATTTACCCTCATGTTTCTGCTCCCTGAACAAGGAGCATCTCTGTCTTAAAGCTCCTCTTCACATCCAGGCTGGTTTATAAATAGGAGAAGGTGCTCTCTGGACTGAAATATATTCACTTGCTGGAGTGTGATGTGTGCACAGGAATATTCCATCAAACCCTGGATGCTTTTTGCTATAAATAAATGTGTGTAGACATGTATAACATTTAGGGGTACACCTAAACAGGGTACAGGGGATTCAAGCAGACAAATTTAACAATCTAACCCAAACCCTGCCCCAGCCCCTGAACTGCAGGGTAGAATTGGCTTTGTCTCCCCGGTGCTTTGGGGAGGAGGTTTTTTCTGCTGGCTCTGCCATCTCCACCAGGTTTTTCCTTCCCTTTTCCACTCAGTAATATTGGATTAACCCACTTTCCGGGAGCTGGGGCTGGATTTGCATAATCCCCCCTGTGAGGAGGGATGCTGGAGCCCTCAGCGAGAGGATGATGCACTGGGGTGGCCGAGCAAATTATGCTCTGAGAAACCACGGAGAGAATGGAGAGGGAAAAAATAACCCAGCTTTTATTTTTATCACCACAAATCCCCCTCTCTTCCAGTTTTTTTACCCCCCTCCCCCATTCCCTTTGTCTCCTTTCCCGGGGAGCTTCCTGCATTTGAAAGTTGGGTTTTTCATGGAGCATCTCAGGATTTGCCAAATTCCTTCCCAATTTTAAGCTTTTTTTCCCCCTTTTCCCCACATTTTGTCCCACTCCTGGACTGTTGCAGCTGCCCAGACCCCCCGTGTCCGCTCCCTCGGGCGAGGGGTTGGGTGAGCCGGGCTGGACCTGCTGGGGCTGCACAGTTGTGTTTATACCACTTGGAAATCCTGGGGACGCGGCCCCAGAGCAGTGGAAGGGGAATGTGGGGCCTCCAGGGGCTTCTCTGTCCCTTGGTTTGCTGGACAGGGAGCAGAGCGAGCTCCTTGGGTTTAAGGAGACGGAGCTGCCCCAGGGGCGACGGCGGGTGTGGAGGGGAAAGGGGGAGAGTGGAGGAGCAAAGTCAATGGAAGCGGTTTGGGGGGACAGAGGGGGGGGCATATCCCATGGGATGGATCCATAACCTATGGAGTGCATCCATAACCCATGGGATGGATCCATAACCCATGGGATGGATCCATAGCCCATGGAGTGCATCCATAACCCAGGGGATGGATCCATAACCCAGGGGATGAATCCATAACCCAGGGGATGGATCCATAACCATGAGATGGATCCATAACCCAGGGGATGGATCCATAGCCCATGGAGTGCATCCATAACCCAGGGGATGGATCCATAACCCAGGGGATGAATCCATAACCCAGGGGATGGATCCATAACCATGGGATGGATCCATAACCCAGAGGACACATCCATAGCCCATGGAGTGCATCCATAACCCATGGGATGGATCCATAACCATGGGATGGATCCATAACCATGGGGATAGATCCATAGCCCATGGAGTGCATCCATAACCCGTGGGACGGATCCATAACCAAGGGATGGATCCATAACCAACCGGATGGATCCATAACCCATGGCATGCATCCATAGCCATGGGATGGATCCATAAGCCATGGTGTGGGTGTATAACCCAGGGGATGGATCCATAACCCACAGGATGGATCCATAACCCATCAGTGGATCCATAACCCATGGGATGCACCCATACCCCCCTGGGTGGGTGCAGAACCCCCCAGGGTGGGCACACCAAGGCCTGGGAGGGGCAGTTTACCACGGGCAACCCCCCCCCCCAAAGAAGCACCAAACTGCAAACCAACCCCTCCAGACCCCCTTTCCATTAGTTCCCTGGGAAGCCCATGGCTGAGGGCTGGGCAGGGCCGGCAGCCAGGGAAACCTTTTCCTGAGGTCAGAAACTCCTCAGCGGGAGCCACAAACCCACGGCAGAGCCAAGGAGAGCTGGGCTGAGCAAAAGGGCTTTTGGCAGCCTGAACAGGAACCCGCACCTCTGCAGAGGTGTTAATTAATATCCAACCCCTCAACACCATCACAGCACCTCCGGAAGGTGCGATGTGCCCGAGAACGTGTGCGAACACGGGGCTGCAGCTCCTGCACATTAGGCAAGTGCCCAAAAACCCTTCGCGGGAGGCGAGGGCGGTGCCGGCCGCCCAAACGAGCTCGTAATGAGGCCGCGGGACCCCGGAGCTGCCGAGCTGCTGGTTGGAGTCTCGGAGGTCGCACTCGAGACCTGATTAGTATGGTCACGGCCACGCCGCGCGGGGCCGGGGAGGGACAGGAGGACTCTTTGCAGCAGTGCAGAGCTCTAAAAAAAAATAATACATAAGCAGGAGAGGGAGGGGAAATCCTGCGAGTCCCCGCCGCGGCTCTGCGCAGACATCTGGCAGGGCAGGGAGCGGAGCCGGCGGCAGCCGGGCTGTGCTCACAGCCGGGGCTCGGGGAGCCCGGGAATTCCAGGGAATGCGGAGCCGGCGGCAACCGGGCTGTGCTCACAGCCGGGGCTCGGGGAGCCCGGGAACTGCAGGGAACGCAGGGTTTGGTGTCAGACGAGGGCCAGGAGCGGTCCCCGGCGGGGCGCGGGGCTCCCACCGGCTCGGGGGGTGTGACAGGGACAGCGGACATGGAGGGGACCCCGCGGGGCCGGGGGCAGACACTCTGCCTCCGTTATTTAGAGTTTGGTGCTCAGTTTAATTTGCAAGAAGAAAAGTAACTGGGCGCGGGAGCTGGCGGTGCTGTCCGCGGTGCTGTCCGCGGTACCCGGCACGGGCGCTGCTCCCTGGAGCACCCGCGCTGCACTTGCTTCTGGTGGTATCCGCGGTGTCCGGGTGTTCCCGGTGTACCTGTGCTGTACGGACGTTGCTCATTGTAGTATCCATGGTGTACAGACACTGCTCTCCAGAGCATCCCTGGTGTGTGGGCACTGCTCCATGGAGTAGCCATGGTGTGTGGGCATTGCTCCATGGAGTAGCCATGGTGTGTGGGCATTGCTCCTTGGAGTAGCCATGGTGTGTGGGCACTGCTCCGTGTAGCAGCCATGGTGTGGGAGCGTTTCCACAGCACTCATGGGGTACATGCCGTGCTCTCTGTGGCACCCATGATGCACAGGCATTACTCCCTGGAGTACCTATAGTGTAAGGTCACTGCTCTCTGTAGTATCCCTGGTGTAAATCACTGCTCTCTGTAGTATCCCTGGTGTAAGGTCACTGCTCTCTGTAGTATCCCTGGTGTAAGGTCACTGCTCTCTGTAGCCCGCCCTCGGTGCACAGGAATTACAAATCCTTTACTCCGTCCGAGATCTCCAGGCCGGTCCCTGCCTGGCAAAGCCCGCGGAGGCTCCAAGTGCTCCCCCCGGCCGGTGGCTCCCAGTGCATCCCGAGGTCGGTGGCACCGCTCGGAGCCGCCTGATCGACGGTGACAAAGCCCGTCCCCGCGGGGGCCTCCCCTGCCAGTGCCCATTAGGAGAAGGGAGACATTCCAGCCCCCCTCCCCTGCCAGTGCCCATTAGGAGAAGGGAGACATTCCAACCCGGCCGGCGCCTCCCGCGGGGCTCGAGCGGGAGTTGTTGCTGGTGACAGTGATAAAGTCCCGGCTGGCAGCAGCAGCGGCTCCAGGGGAGGGGGCACACGGGGTGCAGGGGCCAACTGAAGAGCACACGATGTGCTGAGGCTGTTCCAAACCCTTCCTGTGCCGTTCGGTGCTGCTGGGAAAACCCAGAGCCTCGGCAAATTCGGGAATGCTTGGGAAGAGGCACCGGGACGCTGCTTTTCACCCCTCGCTCCTGGAAAACATCTCCCTGAAATTCGCGTCCCCCTCCAGATTGTCCAGTGGTTGTGCCTCTGATTTCCACACTTGCTTCCCGTTGGGAGAAAACTCAAGTTTTATGGATGTGGAGAAATTCCCTAAAAGCTGAGCAAAGCTGCTGATGGAGAGATTTTGGGGCCTGCAGCTGCGAGAGGTCTGACTCGTGCCATTCATCTCGCCCGGCTGGGTTGTCTCCGTGCCTCGAGATGATAATTTAAGTGTCAGGATGGGGAACTCCTTTAATTCCTCATGTTCAGGCACGGAGAGAAGGTCACGAGTAGCAGCAGTTTATTGAGCTCTCTATTACCAGGGCATCGTTCCTGCTCTGGGAAGGCTGGGATGTACCTCCCAAAATTGAACAATCCACTTGTCATAATCATTTGGTCACTCCTGTGGTTTAGGGATGTTGGAGAAGGGGGTACCAGCCTAAGTGATGCCTTTTGGGGGATGGAGAAGGGTCATGGTGTGCATTTTGGGGTCAAACCACCTGGGGTTGGGCAAGTAAATCAAATAATCTGGGGGTTTGGATGGTGAATTTGATGCTGGTGGCTCTGGGCAAGGTGGTCCAGCAAGCTCGGGATGGGAGGGTGGATTCCAGCCAGCTGAGCTAAATGTGGATTCTCAAGGGAATGGGCAAGGGAGTCAGAAAAAAGCTAAAAAAGGAGTTTTGCAGCAGGATGAGTTTCTGCCAGTGCTGTGACAAGGACTTGGACACTGCAGACCCCGGTGCTGCTCCCCCTGAACAACCCGGGCATTGCAGTCACCCCTCGCAGCCCCTCCAGGGGATTTTCCCTCTTCCCATGGCAAGTGCTTGTCCATTTGCTTGGAGAGGGGGTGTCAATGCAGCCCCCAGGACACCGAAGCTGGACCAGAGCCCGATGATGTCATTTCACAACCCACTTTGCCCTCCAAAATCACTCCCCCCATCCGCCCTGATCCTGCATCCATCGCCTGCCGATGCCTATTGAACCCACTGGGCATCCCAGCGAGAGGCTCCGGGGATATTAATGGGGCCGCTGTATTTTGGGGGCAGCGAACGGCCGGGTCACCAGGGAGGTGAGGGCGGCAGGAGGGAGCTGCCTCTGCGACAGCAGGAAGGAGCAGGAGGTTAATGCCTCCCTGTGCTGTGGCAGTCGCCGGGTTTTTGTCAGGAATAAGATTTTTCTTGGGATTTATAAATAATGCAGGAGGCAGCCTCGGGCTGTCTGAGCTCGGCTCCGGTGCTTTAAATGTGCATTTCCTCTCCTCGTGCCCCTTTTCCTCACACTCCTTGATGTGGAGATGTAATCTGGGGCAGTCGCCATCCGATGCTGCCCAATTATCATCCTTTCTTGTTCCCAGCGGGAAGCATCGGGCTTGGCTTGGCCGCTCCCACTCCTCTGGGGGTTTAGCAGCAACTTTATATGGAGCTCCTCTCCAAAAAAATGACCCCAGGGCACAGATAAAAGGCTGAAAGTAGGTCTAATCCCCGGAGAGAGACTATTTTCCCTGTGCCTTTTCCTGGGAGTTTATTAACTGCCTGTAATCCCCCCGCGACCGGGCTCCGCATCTTCCCTTGCTGTGCATCCTCAGGGAATGCCGGGGGTCCCCGGGAGGGGGGTTGAGCAGTGGCACGAACGACTTCCAGCTGCATTTTCCACTCCTGTCCTCGGACGGAGCTTGGTGGTTTGTCCACATCTGTCCAGACGTGCCGGGGAACTCCTGTGACTGATCCGGGGGTGTCACATCCATCTCCCCCCATTCCCAGAGCTTCCTTCCCGACAACTTCGTTGCATCCCTAAAATAACCCCTAAAAATCCTTGGAGATGATACACAAGGAACCTCTCCATCCAGGAGCGGCTCCTTAAACTCACCCCGGGGTATAAATACGAGTCAGGGGAAATCAGACGTGTCCTTGAAAACTTCCCCTGGTTCCCAAGGCCGGAGATTTACAGCTCTGATAATTCCTCCCGCGCTTCTTTATCCCACGCCCGTGTGTTTTCTTTGCAATAAAAGCCTCAGCCTGGGCGAATAAATCTGAAGAGATGGTTTTAGTGACAGATTTTTTTCTTCTTTTTTACCATTAAAAAAGGTGGAAAAGAGGAAATCTGGAATCAAAGTGTTTTGCCCAAGTGAGAGAGATGCGTTGGGTGGGGTCAGTGGGGTCTTGTCCCCAGGAGATGCTGGGTTTGGGGGGTTGAACCCCAAAATCTTCTTCTGCACCTGGTTTGCTTTAAAACATGACTATTTTAACCCTCTGAGGGACTGAACTGGGCTGTTTTAGCCCCAAAATGCACATCTCCTCCTACATTGCTTTCCTCTGCCTTTTCCTTCTTAATTTTCTGCTAAAATTCCTCCTCAGAAGAAGGGCAGATAAATCTGAAGGCACTGGGGGACACAGGGGAGGAATGAGTCCTCCCCAGACCTAAAAAGAGCCTTTTTCCACTTAAAAATCCCAACCCCAGTGAGCAGCTGGACACAGGAGTCGGTGATGCCATAACTGGGTGGAAACGTGTGGATTTTGCTTTTAATGATAAATAAAAAATATTTAATGTTATTAATCAATAAAGGTATTGAGGGCACCCTCGGGAAGTTCCCGGCCAACCCCAATCCAGGGATGTGGATGTGCCGGAGGGCAGGAGCTCTGCAGAGGGGTCGGGACAGGCTGGATCCAGGGACAAGGGGGAGCGTCAACAGGGCCAAGTGCCGGGTCCTGAACCTGGGTCAGGACAAACCCCTGGAACGCTCCAGGCTGGAAAGCCGGGAAAGCCCTGGGGGTGCCGGTGGCAGCGCTGGACACGAGCCGGGTGTGCCCGGGGGGGCGAGAGGCCGATGGCCCCGGGCTGGGCCCGGCCCAGGGGGGCACAGGAACAGGGCAGGGCCCGTCCCTGTGCTGGGCACGGCCGGGGCACCTCCAGCCCCGGGGGCACCGCTGGGACCCTCCGGACAAGGAGGACCCGGAGGGGCTGGAGCGTGTGCAGGGAAGGGAACGGAGCTGGGAAGGGGCTGGAGCAGCAGGAGCGGCTGAGGGAGCTGGGGGGGCTCAGCCTGGAGAAAAGGAGGCTCAGGGGGGACCTTCTGGCTCTGGAATTCCCTGATAGGAGGGGGGAGCCGGGGGGGGTCGGGCCCTGCTCCCAGGGAACAAGGGACAGGAGGAGAGGGAACGGCCTCCAGCTGTGCCAGGGGAGGCTCAGGTTGGACATCAGGAGGAATTTCTCCCTGGAAAGGGTGGTCAGGCACTGGAAGGGGCTGCCCAGGGAGGTTTGGAGTCCCCAGCCCTGGAGGTGCCCAAGGAAGGCTTGGCCTTGGCATTCAGTGCTCTGGGCTGGGGACAAGGTGGGCATTGGGCATGGGGGGGATCCGTGGGCTGGGAGGGCTTTTCCAACCCAAATGATTCTGGGATTCTCTCTATAAAAAATAAAACAATTATATTATAAATATTAAAATGCATTTAGTAAACATTTTAAAATAAATACATTTGCAGTATTTATCATAATTATATTTAAATGTAAATAAAAAATATTAAAATATTAAGAATAAAAACCTTACAAATATTAAAAAGTGATCACAAAGCTGCTTGGAATTGCCAAAATTGACCCGTGGGCATCTCATAAATGGGGTTGATTGTTTTATGCAGGTAACTGATGGTGGCACCATCAAGCAGAAGATCTTCACCTTCGATGCCATGTTCTCCACCAACTTCTCCCAGATGGAGAATTATCGGAAGAGGGAGGACCTGGTTTACCAGTCCACCGTGCGGTGAGTCCCTCATGTCTATTTTAATGCCTATTTTTAGGAATTATGGCAACGGCCACGGTGTGTCTCTGTGGTGGAAATGGGCAAAGAAATACAAGGCTTGGGAAAATTGGGAAAAAAAGAGTCTGTGTTTATATATAAACCAGGCACAGAAGCTTCTCTTTGCTTTTATTCCAAGTGTGAAATCACTTGCAGGAGTGTCAGTTTTATTACTAATTACACACTTGCTTTATTGCCAGTGTTATAAAAACAAAACTGGAGCTTGGAAAAAAGGTCAGGGGAGGTTTAATTCAAGGTAAAGAACCCAGGATGAAGTATTTATCCTTCCCCGTTTATTTTTTCCCCCTTGTTTCCTTTTTAAATTAGATTTTTCTAATTGGATTTCAAAGCTCGTTTTTTCCCAGCGTGGGGTAATAAAAATTCCGTGTGTGGTGGGGAAAATAGTAATTTCCTCAAGTGAGGTGATGGTTTGCACCTGCAAATGTCCGTGGAAGGGTTGGAAAAGGGCTTGGCACGGCTCATCCCACCGGATGAGCAGGTGTGAAGTGGGAAATCCTTTCTAATTCTTTGGAATTTGATTTTTTGGGGGGAGTTTTTCACTGTTTTTTTCTACTACACTCGGAGTTATTTTTCATTATAAGCCAGTGTGTGAGACGGATGTGGGAATTAATGTGGATTTAGAGTGGAGAAAGGGCAGGAAAACAGGGTTGGAAATACTGTGGGGTTGCTCAGGAGATGCTCAGAGGATGCTCAGGTTGCTTAAGGGTTGCTCAGGAGGATCCTCAGGCCCCACTCAGGGGAGGCCAAGGAGAAGTTCAGGATGCTCAGGTGCTGCTCAGGAGGGTCAGGAGTTCCTCAGGGGATGCTCAGCTGAGGAGCAGCAAGGTCAGGAGATGCTCTGAGGTTGCTCAGGGTTTGCTCAGAGGATGCTCTGGAGAAGCTCAGGAAGGTCAGGAGAGGCTCAGGATTCTCAGGGGTTGCTCAGAAGTGTCAGGAATTGGTCAAATGTTGCTCAGAGGATGCTCAAGAAGGTCGGGAGAAGTGCAGGATCCTCAGAGCTTGCACAGAGGATGCTCAGGAGAGTCAGAGGGTTCTTGGGATGCTCATGAGGATGTTCAGGAGGGTCAGGATGCTCAGGGGTTGCACAGAGGACGCTCAGGAGGGTCAGAGGGTGCTCAGGACATTCTCAGGGGATGAGCAGAGGCTGCTCCGTGGGTGCTGCTCTCCCTAGTTTTGTCTCTCCATGTCCCCGCAGCTCCGCTCAACCACTCACTCACATGTTGTACAAATTCCTGACACGACTAATTACTGTTTGGAGAACGTTTTGGCAGCTCCACGGAGGGATTACACATTCCCTGACTCCACTGCCGTGGTTCCTGCCGTAAAGCCGGCGGGTTCGCTCAGCGCCGGGTTTGACCGTTGCTCTCCTCCAGCCAGGAGCGCCAGGAAAACTGGGGAATTAAACCGGATTAAAACATTCCCTGTGCACAGCAAGGGATCACAAGCACCCCTGGAGCAGGGGACGGGGAATAAAACATTCCCTGTGCACAGAGCAAATCGGAGCATCCCTTGAGCGAGGGACAAGGACAGGCCCTGCTCACCCGGTCACGGCGCATCACGCCCACCCAGCGCCGAAAAGCAGCTGCTTTTTTTGGCTCCAAACCCTCCGTTTTTCTCCCTTTCACTGAATATTGTAGAACTAATAGAATTTGTGAGCAGAAAATTTCACCGCCCTAGGACCAGGCACTTAAAAGGCTCGGTAATCGTCGGCACGGTGCCGGCAAATCGTCCGTGGAGTCGGGGATGTTGGCGCTGAAATCTTTTCATGGAGTTGCCTTTTGTTTCAGAGGAAAACAGCAACTTGCCTGGGGAGAAGGAGATATTTCTCAGAGGGTATGAAAAGAGCTTGTTTTCCAAATCATTGGCTTTTTTTGGGGGGGGGAGGGGGCCCTGCCTTATTTTGGGGCTCTACTGAAGAAGAGGAGCAATATCAGGAAGGGTTTGGTGACGGGTCAATTGTTTCCTGGCTGTATCCACTCATTCCCTGTCATTCCGTATTTTCACCAATTTATTAATTATTTTCCGGGGAATCTTTGTCACGGCACGGTCACGTCGGAGCTGTCCCACGGAGCATTATCCCGGGTGGCACAGCCCTTATCTGCACAGCACAGAGGGCTGGCGGAGCTGCCTCTTTTCATCCCGGCTTTGAACGCCGCCCGCTCAGATGTGAAGAGCAAAGCCAGGAGATATCCAATATCCAATCCTGCAGTTTGGGGTTTTTTTCCCTTCCTCTGATTAAAATCCCACCCTCGTCGCAGCAGACGTTCTTCATGAATATCTATATAATTTTCTTTCCTTCTTTCCAGCGTGCTTAGAGGACGCAGAGGACACGCCAGGCAGCGTTTTGCCTTTGCAGGGCTGGTGGTTTCCTCTCTGCTGTCCCCAGGAACATCAGACTGACCCAGTTAGGGCTGTTTTACACCCAAATCCAAAGGGCTCCTTCACGGGGAGGAGCAGCCACTAGTCTGGAGCCGGTCCCCAGCTTGGTGGGGCCCAAACCTGCTCCTCGTGCTGCTGATGGAGGGGGTGGGTGGGTGATTTCCCGCTCCGAACACGGATAATTAGAGGCTGGAACAGATGGTAGAGGCTCAGTTGAAAGCGTTGTGACCATTAAAAGGAGCTGCCAAGTGACTGTTCACTTCAACGGGGGCTTGTTTGTGCTAGCGGGGGCTCGGGTGTGAGGAGGAGGTGTGGGAAGGCAGCCAAGGGCTGATGGGAAGGAGCTGGGAAAGGAGTGCCAGATTTTCCCCTGGATGGGGAAGCCCCGTGAAGTGCCCACCAAGTGGGATCCTTCAACTGGGAGTGGCTTGCTGGGTGCTCCAGGTGGGAATTGCTCCCACCCTTGACACCGTGGCGGGATCCTGCTGGGTGGTGAGGTGGGATGATGCTGCCAGTGAGGAGGGATGGTGACATCGACTAGAAAAGGGGGAATGCTGCCAGCTGGAGGGGTGGGATCCTGCTGGCTGGTGAGGTGGGATACTGGTCACCAGTAAGGTGGGATGCTGGTCACTGGGAAGGCAGGACAACATTCCCAGCCACTGAGGTGGAATGCTGCTTGCTGGGAAGGCAGGATGATGTTCCTGCACGGGGAGGTAGGATGGTGCTTCTGGCCAACAAGGTGGGATGGTGCAGACAGCAGGGTGGGATGTGCCAGCTGGGGGGGTGGGGTGATGCTGCCGACTGGCAAGGTCAGAAGCTGCCAGCTGGTGAGGCAGGATGGTGCTGCCAGATGGCAAAGCGGGATCCTGCCAACCAGAAAGGTGGGATGCTGAGGACCAGAAGGGTGGGATACTGCCAACCAGAAAGGTGGCAGCCAGTGAGGTGGGATGATGGTCCCAACTGGCACAGAGGGATCCTGCCAATTTGGCGAGGTGGGATGCTGAGGACCAGCAGGGTGGGATGCAACTGTCCAGTGAGGTGGGAAGATGCTGCCCACTGGGGAGGCGGATGCTGCCAGTCAGCAAAGTGGCTCCTTTGCAGCCAGCAGAGCATTTCCACCTCCAGTAGCAGCGATCCTTTCCACAACTCCTCCTCTCCTGTTTTTCCCAGATCCACAGAAAGTCTCTAGATAAAAGATTGATCGATGGGTGCTCTGGGTTTGCTCTGAGTTTGGGCTTTTGATGCTTTTATTTGCCCGCTTTACTGTGGTGGGGTGGCCTGGAAGGTGCGGGGCTGAGCTGGTTCCGTCGGCATTCCACAGGCATTCCACAGGCGTTCGATGGCCGCGGTCACGGGTTTCTGCTCCCGGCAGTGCTTTCCCTCCCATCCACGTCTCCTTTCAATAATGCAATTACTTCCCCTCGGAGGAGCTGTCAGGGCCAGTAAACTCCAGCTGCTAAACTGCATTACAGGCTCCCTCCCGCAGCCTGGGCACTTACTAATAGTTTATTGATCCCCGTCGCCGGGGAGGAGCAGCCCCGTCCCAGGCCTGGATATCCAGGTGCTGACCGCTCCATCCCCGGGAAAACGAGGCCAGGGTGGAGGGTGAGTGCTGTGTGTCCTCCTCAGCCTGCCCGAGGTTCGCATCTCGGACAACGGGCCCTACGAGTGTCACGTGGGGATCTATGACCGAGCCACGCGGGAGAAGGTGGTCCTGGCCTCCGGGAACGTGTTCCTCAACGTCATGGGTGAGAGGGGAAACACTGCGGGGCCTCAGGGCCAAGGGACAGCAGGGATTGGGCTCCTTTTCCCATCCTCAGGGCTGGGGAGGGGGATGGGGATGAGGGTGAGGGTGAGGATGAGAACAGGAATGGGGATGAGCAAGGGGACGGGATGGGGAAAGGGATGAGGGCGCACATGGGGATGAGAATGGGTATGAAGATGGGGATGGGAAGGAAGATGGGGAATGGCATAAACACAGGGATGAGGACGGGAATGGGCACAGGGATTAGAACGGGGATGGGCATGGGGAGAGGGAGGAGGATGCACATGGGGATGAGGAGAGGGATGAAGATACAGGTTTGGGGATGGGGATGAGGAGAGGGTGGGGAGAGGGATGAGGATGCCCATGGGGATGAGGATGTGTTGGAAGATGGGGATGGGCCAAGGATGGGGAGGGGAAGGAGGATGGGGAATGGGATGAATGTGGGGGGTAGGATGGCCATGGGAATGGGCACAGGGATTAGAATGAGGATGGGGATGAGGGGGAGGGTGGGGAGAGGGACAAGAATGCCCATGGGGATGAGGATGGGTATGAAGTTGGGGATGGGACACATTGGGGTAAGGATGGGACAAAGATGGAGACAGTGATGAGGACAGGGAATGGGATGCAGATGGAGGTGGATATGGGAGCGAGGATGAGTATGAGAATGGGGACAGGGATGAGGATGGAGGTGGGGATGGGACAGGGAGGGAGATGAGGATGAGGATGGGGATGTAGGCAGATGAGTGGGTGCTGAGGATACTGTGCCAACACCCCGCTCTGCTCCGGCAGCCCCCCCGACGTCCATCTCAGTGCTCGCCGCCGACACGCCTGCGCCGTTCAGCCGCTACCAGGCCCAGAACTTCACCCTGGTGTGTGTGGTGTCCGGAGGGAAACCTGCCCCCCTGGTGAGCTGAGCCCCCTGGGGGGGGCTAACCCTCCTGGGGATACCTGAAATCATCATAAACCCAGGAATACCTAAAATATATCCTATATACGTGCTGCTTTTATAGGGCAAATGTAACATAAGGGCTATTTCCTAAGGCTGCTGCTCCCCAAATCTCACCCTGGGAAGGGGCTCCCTCCAAAGCCACCTGAGGGGATGCCGGCGATGTCCCCATCAGGATCACCACCCTTTTGTCCCCACACAGGTGTACTTCAAGCGGGATGGGGAGCCCATCGAGGCCACCCCTCTGCCGGAGCCGCCGGCCGGCACCGGGAGCTGGGCCCCCCGCAACCTCCTGCACCGTGACCTGGACGACACCAAGGTGCCCAAATCGCTGGCGGCCGAGGGCGAGCCGGGGGTCGGGCGAGCCTTGGGCACGGTGGAGCCGCCGCAGGGTCTGGCGGCCGAGCGGGAGGCAGTGACGGAGCCCATCCCCGAGACCGTGGTGAGCCGCGAGTTCCCGCGCTGGGTGCACGTGGCCGAGCCCATCTACTACTTCCGGCACACGCACGCGCCCGTCAGCGACGGCACCGTGGAGGCCAGAGCCACCCTCACCTGGACCCTGAACCCCCAGATCGACAACGAGGCCCTGTTCAGCTGCGAGGTGAAGCACCCAGCGCTCTCCATGCCCATGCAGTCCGAGGTGACCCTCGGTAAGTGGCCAGGCTGGGGGGGTTTCTTGGCTTTTTTACACTTTTTTTTTTTTTTGCTACTTTTTCATTTTTTTGCTTTTATTCTTTTTTCTTTTTTTTCTTTTTTTTTTTTTTTTTTCTTTTTTCCTTTTTCTTTCTTTTTTCTTTTTTTCTTCTTTTTTTTCCCTTTTTGTTTTGTTTTGTTTTTCTTACCTTTTTTTTTTTTTCCTTTCTGTTGTATTTTTGCTCTTCTCTCAGTGGTCTTGAGGTGCCTGTGAGCCAAAGAGAGGTGCCACATAGGGCTGCAAGATGATAGGCTAGGAGATGGTGATGCCAGGGCTCCACAAAACAAGGGATGAGGGGAGGGAGTTTTGGAGGGGTCCAACAAGGGCTCCACAAAAGAAGGGATGAGGGGAGGGGGCTTTGGGGGCATCCAACAGGCAGGAGAAGGGGTTTGCTGTGTACTGAGGGCCTCCCATCCGAGGGTTTGTTGGGTTGACACAGGGTTGAGGTTGGGAGGGGACATAGGATCAGGATCGGGGGAAAAAGGGGCTGGTTTGGGGGAGTCAAAGCTGTTCTGGATGTTGGGATGAGCAGGAAGGAGGTGTTAGAGCTGGGGGGGAAGGGCTGTGTTGGGGACCTGGTGCTTGGTGGAGGGGAGTTGGTGTCACCCCTTGGTGTTACCTCTGGGATGTAACTGTGGAAGGGAAGGGATGGGATGGAGGAGCCCCTCTGGGGGCTTCACCCCAGAGTGGTGTCACCTCCATCCACCTCTACCCAGTCCCAGCAGATCCAAGGACATGCCATGGTTCTTGTTGGCCATCACCACACAACTCATCCCAGGGGGAATTTTGGGGGGGCCCAGTTGGCTCCTGCACAGAGGCATCCTGTGGGGCTGGTGAGGCCCCAGCTGTGATTGGGTGATGGGATTGAAGCCAGGGAATCCCTGCTGGCTCCCCAAATTCCCAGGGCCACAGAAGAGCAGCAGCTGCTCAGGTGATCATGGGAGCTGGTGAACAGGTCGGTGGAGCTCCCTCCCAGTCTCTCACCCTGGCTGGGGCTTCCCCAGCTCCTCCTGGCTCCCTGTCAGAAGAGTCTGAGCTCTCCACTGGGGTTTCCCAGCTTCAGGGAAGCCTTCTGGGCAGGCTGCTCCAGCCTCCCTCCCCTCGAGCCAGGTGGAGGAGCCCGGGCTTTGCTCCTGGCCAAGTGGAGCACTCACTTGGCTGCCGCGGCCTCTCCTGGAGAGCTTTGCCTCGCTGGCACCGGCTGCAGCCAGCACAGACCTCCCAGCGCTGGGGCTGAGTCTCCTCAGCTCATCAAACACCTCAATTAGCGTGAGGTTGTTGGCAGTGGGGAGGTCAGGGGAGGTTGGCGCTCAACAAGGGGGACAGCAGCTCCCTTGCCAAGACAGGGCCCTGTGTTCCCTGTTCCTGCATCCAACCAGCCAAAAAACAACCTCCATCCTGCATTTTCACACCCTCTGCAGCTCATCAGGCTGAGGTGTCCCCTTGCTGGGGCTCCCATGAGGCCAAGACCTCACAGTTTGCTGCTCTTCCCTAGGACTGCAATACCTGTATTGGCAAAGCTCACCCCACACTGCCCCCCCAAACCCACATCCTTCCTCAGCCCTAAAGTGCCCCCAGCCTCTGCACCTCACTGGGTGCCCAGCCAGCACCAGCCACACCCGTTTTTGGGCACCATCGTAGCACCATCCCCTGTTAACCCCGCTTATATATTCATAGTGTATATATATATATGTGTATATATATGTATATATATATACATTCTCCATAAAAGCTGCATTGAAACCAAGACAAACCACTTGCTTTGGTCCATAAAACTGCCTTCTGGTGCCAACCATGGCACGGTGTGATCACCTGCAGCCCATCACCCCTGGTCCAGCACCAGAGGGCCAGATCCTGCACAGCCAGTGCAGCCCATGGTCTGTGGTGCATGTCCCTGCAGAGCATCCCGGGGCACGGATGCCCTGTCCAGGGCCAGTGTCCACCCCCATACACTGATGTGCTTCCTGCTGGCTGTTTGTCCCTCTGTGTTGTGCCGGGTGACGTCCAGGCTCAGCCTGTCCCACCCCTGGCACAGCCTGAGTGTACCAGGGGTGACACCCACACTTTGGGCAAGGCACAACCTCCCTCCTGCCCATTTTCCCCCTGGAGCCTGCCAGAGGCTCCTTCCACGCAGAGACCAGGCAGCTCCTGGGGCTGTCCCATCCCACCCATGGGCAGGAGGGACATCCCCACTCCCCACTGTGGTGGAGGCCGGGGGCACACCATGGTGGTGTCACCCCAGCAGGGCTGGTGGCATCGCTGCCTCTCCTCTCAGTGCACCAGATGAACACCCCAAGTCTGCCATGGAAAAAGGAATTCCCTCTTTTGTACACACTGTGCCTGGAATTTTGTGCCAGCAAAGCTTTGTGACTGTCTCCTGTGTTACCACCACCTGTGTGTGACTCGCTGAAGTCACCTCGTCCTGGGGATGCTTCTCTGAGGTGCTTCAAACCAGCCTGACCCCTCTCGCCACCTGTTTCTGAGCAGAGAAGGGCTTGACTGGGAAATCCATCGTTCACCATCAGTGTATCCCATCACAGTCATCCATCAGTCTCACACTCTTCCCGTTCTTCCACCTGCAGGGTCCTTTCCTACCTGTCCATCAGTCACTCAGACATCACTCAGTCTGTTCATCACTCACGGGGCCACCAGCCCCCCTGGGCTGGATCCACCCCCTCACCATGGTTATCCATCAAAGCCTCATTAACTCCAGCCAAGGGCCCTGGGAATGTTGTGCTCTGCTGATGTCCCTTGTCCCCTTCCCTCGCAGTTGCTCCCAAGGGCCCGAAGATCACGATGACTCCGACAAGAGCCCGCGTCGGAGACACCGTGCGGATCCTGGTGCAGGGATTCCAGGTCAGCACCCGCTGCAGAGGTGGTGCCATGCCAAGGGACAGCCTTGCATCCCCACCAGCACTTTGTGGGGTTGGCTTGGTGGCCTTGGGTTGCATCATGGTCCCTATGTTGGAACAGGTTGCCCAGGGAAGTTGTCGACGCCCCATTCCTGGAAGTGTCCATGGCCAGCTTGGACGGGGCTCGGAGCAACCCGGGCTAGTGGAAGGTGTCCCTGCCCATAGCAGGGGGTGGGAGGAGATAAGCCTTATGGTCCTTCCCAACCCAAACCATTCCAGGACTCCAGGCTTTCAACTGCACCCCATCCTTGCTCCAGGCACAAGACGGGGTTTGCTCGCTCTCTGTCCCGTCTTACCCCCACCATCTCCCTGCAGAACGAAGTCTTCCCAGAGCCCCTCTTCACCTGGACACGAGTGGGGAGCCGGCTCCTCGATGGCAGCGCCGAGCACGACGGGAAGGAGCTGGTGCTGGAGCGGGTGCCGGCCGAGCTCAACGGCTCCATGTACCGCTGCACCGCCCAGAACCCGCTGGGCTCCACCGACACCCACACCCGCCTCATCGTCTTCGGTGCGCTCACCACGGGCTCACCCCCCTCCACATGCCCTCACTCTTCTCCTCCCCACTAAAACTGTCTCTCTGCTCTTTCTTTCCCCTTAGAAAATCCAAATATTCCCAGAGGACCAGAAGACTCCAACGGTGAGTGGTGGTGGCATCGGTGCTTCAACACAGACCACCCGGGGAGGGAAGGACCGTGCAGAGAGGATCTCTCCTTGCCTTGTCCCAAGCCCGTGGCCATCTCCCCTTGCCTTGTCCCAAGCCCGTGGCCATCTCCCCTTGCCTTGTCCCAAGCCCGTGGCCATCTCTCCTTGCCTCATTCCAAGCCCTTGGCCATCCCTCCTGGCCTTATCCTGAGCCCTCCCCCTTGGCATCAGGGATGTACCTGGACCAAAAGGGTCCCTGCAGATGCTCTCCACAACATCCTTGACCTGCTTCCCACCCCACACAACCTCCATAGCAAGTTTAGAAGGGGGAATCTCCCCCAAAAAAGCAGTGACCCCCATCCTGCTTTGAGCCCAAGCAGCGAGACGCAGCTCCATGACCTGCCCATCCTTTTCTCCTCCTCTCCAGGTTCACTTACTGGCCACTGCGGCTTCAGGTTAGTTTTGGCGCTCACCCTGACAGTGATCCTGGAGCTCACGTGAAGCTTCACCTGCCTCTTCCTCCTCCTCTTCCTCCTCCATACGACTCCACCCGGCATCTCCACCTCCGTCCATCGGTTCTCTCGCTCTTTTTTTTTTCTAATCTATTTACAGTCTCGATCTCTTCCCGTTCTGTGTCTTGGCTTCCTCAGACAATTTAATTAAAGGGAAAAAGAAAAACCTCCCCTAGTAGAAGGTTGTAATTAATGTCTTACCTTGTGCTGGGGTTCCCAGCGCTGTCTCAGGGTACCCGCAGGCTTTGCGAGGTCTTGGAGGGGGATGGGGGATGTCTATGACTCAAGGACCAAACTTCCCCTGGAAAAATCCGGTTACACTGTTCCCACTGCACCAAGATGCTCCAGATCCGCAGGGGAAGGCCCTGCATGTGTCCCCAGCATGAGGGAGGTTGGGGACAAGCCCACACACGTGTGGGTGGCAGCGCTGGGAGCCCAAAAGCTGCGGATCACTGGCCTTCTCCTAGGCTGGGCTGGGGGAAGCGGCTTTGCTGGGAGCCAGGGCCGTGCACAGCACTCGTCCCGGGCTGGTGGCGAATCACAAGTGACAGGCAGCTCCCGACCCAAAATGTCAGCGCTCACACATGAGCGGGCAGCGGGTCCCATCAGGCACCAGCCTGCACCCACCCCTGCTCCGTGCCACCCTCCCCGTCCCTCCTGGCTAATCATCTCCATGGAAACGGATAACGGTCCAGCACAGACAGATCCCCAATATTCCCGTGGCCCCCAGTCCCAGCAGGGCGTTAGTCCTGCTGCAGGATGGCAAAACACAGGTGGGTTCGTCCCAGTCCTGCCCAGCGCTGGAGGATGCCTACGGAGGATACCCAGAGTTTTCCCTGTTTTCCTGCCCTGTGGTACCCTGAGAGCATTCGGGATCCCTGGAGAGCAGATGCAGGGGGGAAAGGATCCCAAGGACGGGGCGCTCCCCTGCCTTTTCCTCTGGGAACTCCTAATCCTAGAGGATTATCCAGCAGCCGTGTGGTGCTTCATCTTCCCAAAGCCCCGGACGAGTGCTAAGCATTATTATTACTATTATGATTAATTATTATTAAGCAGATTCCATCCCTTCCCTGCTCTGTTGCCAACCTCGCTGTGAGCGATTTCCCAGCCCCAAAGGAGCCCAACAACCACTCGGCAGCTCAGGAGCTTCTTCCCGGCCTCAAAAGCCCACAGTTTATAATTTGGACTGGAAGCAACACAGGGATGGATTGGGACTGGCTGGGATGTGGGAGGATCAGCAGCTCCACTTTCATCCCGAAGGAACAGCATCTGAGTATCCAGATCCCTACAGACCTGCTTCTTCTCCAGCTGCTTCCACTGTTCCTCCCTGGATGAGAGGAAAATCTTCATTTTTTTAGAGGAACCTTCATTTTTTGGGGAACTCTCCGTGACTCAACTTACGCCCCCGGGACGGAGCGGGCAGGAGGGCCCCCCCACCACACCGTGGATGCTTCTCGCCCAGCTCGCTGGATTGGAGATGCTCCAGGGGCCTCATCCGGACGTGATTAAACAACCATTAGGCCTCCTCGCTCCAAACAATGAGGATTTACAGGCGCCCAAACCTCCATTTAAATGCAAATGCGGCGGGTTTAGCCCGGCACCGTGGAAATGAGGAGCTTTGCGGCGGTGGTGCCACCACGGCCAGCTCTGCTTGGTGGCCCCTCGGGAGCGCCGTGACCTTCCCCTCCAGCAGCTGGGAGAGGAACGGTGGGCTCAGTGGTCCTGCATCCCAAATCCACCCCAATTTGGGACGCTCAGCTCCTTCCCCGGGGATGGGCCCATCTATGGGTTGGGATCTTCTCCCCATCAGCACAGGGGGCTTGGGAGCCCCTCCTCATCCCGGGCAGACGTCCTGCCTGCTTTCCCAAATCCCCCCCAAGGCAAGGGGCCCAAAGAGATGCCAGCCCACCGAAGGAACCCATCCACGCCCTGCTGGACCCTGCCTTCACCTCCTTCCCACCCCTTCTCATCCTCCACCCACCACCTGCCAGCCCTGCCTCCCCCACCCCCAGCCACCTTCCACCAGGTAATTACAAAGGACAACAATTAAATCCCCGGTTCCCCCCTACCACACATCCCGTTGTCTGAGGCCCTGGCAGTGAATAATGCAGGAGGCTGGAGGGGAAAAGAGCTGCTCAGGTTGTTTCATTATTGATGAGAGATGACAGATCCGCGGCTGACAACCTACCGAAGAGATATGATTAGCTTGTAAAAAATTAAGCGCCTTTCTGAGGGCTGACGAGAGCTGAAAAACCCCAAGGAGCGGCGTTATCAATGTTCCCTCATTTCAGGGGACTTTGAAAAGGTTTTAGCAAAATTTGGAAGAGGTAATTACATTCAATTAGAGTCACAAGTGCCGAGACGTCACCGCTGCTTCTCCTGCTCCCCGACACCACCGATCATCCTTCCCACAGGCAGAGATAAATAGGGGTTTATGTGTTGGACCTGATTTCTGCCATGAGTTCTTTGGGATACGAGGGTGTGGGACACAAAACCAGGGATTCTCTGGCTCAGTAGGGTTGGGAAAGGCAGTGGGAGCTTTGCTTGGTGCTTCCCCTGCCTCCCCCACCTCATTACCGGGCCGGGGTTCACGGGGCTGCCAAGCACATGCATAATTCATACTTCCCAACTCTCAAATGCCGGGATCTTTGTAGATCTTCCTTCAGAATAAAAACCACGGCAGGAGAGACGAAGAAACCGGGGGTCAGGGGGGTGGCCAGACCCTTTGCCAATTAGCCAAGCCCCGAAACACGTGCCCAGACTCAATACATGTCACTGTTACCCTCAGCTTCAGGACCTTCTGGGTTTACAGGTAGGAGGGACACCCCTTTTCCCAAGGTTTTGGCCGGACCAAGCCCCCAGTGATAGATTTTTGGGCCCTGTGCCAAATAGGATGGAGGAGAGTGGCTGGGTGGGTTTGGTTGGTGCTGGTTTGGCCTCTGGTGCGAGCTCCAGATGCATCCAAGGGATACATCACACCATCCCTGCTCCAAAGTCCAACTTTTAGTCTAAATATCCTCCTCCCCTCAATCTCTTCATTGCTGCATTTCCCCACGCAAGGTGACAACATCCCAAACATTCCCCCAGAAGCCGCTGGTGGGCTCTCCCTGCTACCAGCAGGGATGTGCATAGGGGTCCCCACGTGCCAATCCAGCACTGGGAGGTTACACCAAGGCTTCTTTTCCATCCTCTTTATATAGATCTATAAATATTTTGCTATTTAGAACACGATCCTCCACCCAAGGAGCATCCCTGGCAGGTTTGGAGTCAGATACACATCCAGCCCCTCTGGCAGCACCATGGGTCCTGTCCAAACCCATCCCGGGAAGTTCAGCCCCTCAGCTGGGGCAGGGGACCCTCCCAGCCCTTGCAGGTGCTGGGGGGGACACGTGCCCCGGGGGGGTTCAGCTGCTCCTCCCCACCCCAAAGGGCAGTGCCCGGGCTCTGAGGGGCTGCTGGGGATCAGCTGCTCCGGGGCGGGGGGAGGGCACTGCCAGTGAGCTCCTGAGCACCCACCACCCATGGAAGACCCGTGGCAAGACCTTCTGCCACCACACCTACCCACGACCTGTGCAGCTGGGACACATCAACACCCAGCCTGTCATAACGTCACCTGGGTTCATTTTGCAGGAAAATCCCACCGGATCGGGACAGAGCGAGCAGGGGGTGAGTCCCTGCATAGAAACAGGAGCTTCCACCCACCCCCACCCACATTTTGGCTGTTTCTTTGCTCCCTCGTTTCTTTCTGGATCTCTCAGCATGTGAGATGTTCCCCTCAGGGAAAGGCAATTCAGTTTATCCCTTTGAATTCCGCTCACTCAGGGATCTCCTCGGCAGCAGCACAGCCAGCGTGGTGGGGAGCAAAGCCATTCCCCAAGCTCCCTCCTTTTCTCCCCTGCCACAGTCCAAGCACTGGGCCCCGGTTACCCTGGGGACAACAATCCCCCTAAATCTTTGGAATTCAGACCATGCTCATTGTCAACATCTTCCCAGGGGGAGAAGGAAGCAAGTGTGGCACAGCCTGGCATCCTCCTGCCTCAGTTTCCCCACAGTGACTCCAGTCCCCATGGATACCCTACACACATCTCTCCCATCCCTTCCCATCCCTTATCTCTTCCTGATCCTAATGCTTGTGTTTCCTTTCCTTGGTCCATCCCTCTCCTCCTGCCCACGGATGCAGGTCGCTGATCCTGGCAGCCACCAGCTGCAGTTTAACTCCTGCCTTTATTTTCTCCTCAGTGCCAGGCTTTTATCCCTCTCAAAGCCCCCAGATCCTTTTCCACCAGCTCTTAATTCCCCTGCCACTTCCAAGCTGGCCTCCAAGAGACCCCGGGAGCTTCCGGGCTATTTCCCGTCACCCTTCGTTAACTTCGTGCCGCGAACGGAGGCCCCGGATCCGCCACCCCGGATCGGCCCCCACGGAGCAGCTGCTCGGCGTCAGACCAAAGGTCTCCCGGCTCCGGCCGCTCTCCCTCCCTTCCCTGTGTCTGCACCGAGGGATGAGAAGCATTTTCAAACAAAACAACTTTTCTCTGCAGCAACAGTTTCCCCCTCCCGTTACGTGATCCTTTTCAAACAGCGGCAGAAATGAGGAGGCGGCACCTCGGGCTGCTCCGAGGAGATACTTTTCCTCCCTTTGTGCTTCCTGTTGCTTTTCCCTGAGCCTCTCTGTTTCCCAGGCTCATAAAGCCGGCTCTGTGCCACCTGCTCTGGGCTGCACCTTTCCCTGGAGCCCAGCCCAGCCCAGCCCAGACACGCAAAGCTGGTCCAGAAACCTCCTCCGGCTTTGCCCGCTCAAAGTCACCTTGTCCCAAACCTTCGGCTCCACACTTCGGCCTCGCCCGGCAATCATTAATCGGCCGCTCCGCATTCCCGGGATGGAAAAATGCCCCAGCGGGCAGCCGTGCCCTGGCAGTCCGACATGCCGCTGGCCGGGAAGCTGCTCCTGTCCGCTGCCGCGCTGCTCCTCCTCACCCTGGCCTTCAGGTTCTACAGGAGCCGCTCGCTCGCCGGGGGCAAAACCCCCCTGGCTGACGAGGGACAGCCCGGGGAAAACCTTCCCCGGGCCGGGGATGGGGATGGGGATAAGGATGGGCATAAGAATGGGGATGGGGATAAGGATGGGGATGGGGCAGTGGGTCCGCGGCGAAGGAGGGTGTGGGGTGAGGAGGTGAGGAG